CCCCCCCCAGTGGGGAGGGGGTAGGGAAACATATTAGGCTGGGGAAAAAGGGAGGGATTTGGATGAGTAGAAAATATGGCAGATGTGCTGTGTAAAGAGGGTGAAGCAGCCATCTATCAATCTACCATGATCAAAGGCTCCACTGGAGAATGAAAGGTCCAAGTTATTGAGGATTGTTGAATTCAAACCGTATCCACACAGAATCCTTCTGCGTATAGGGAAACGCTGGCTACTTTTAAGCATATAACTCTTTCCATGAATAAATCACATCTATATACTTCATGTTCATCTGAATTTTAGTAATGGAGAATTGTAATACTTTTAAAGATGTTTTCATTTTTTATTTTTAATTTTGTTCTTTAATTAAAACTATATCTTAAGTAAATCAACTGATTTATGAATAATTTATTTTTGACTTATGAGTAATTTATATTTGTATGTAGTAGGGCAACAATAGAATAGGCAGCATGGATACATAAACTGGCTTTCAGTGAATGAAGTGATAGGACACTGAGGTCAACACTGTCAAGGATTTGAAATGTATGTTCCTAACCTAACTTGATATCAAAACTGGGAACCCTGCTTTGAACTGTTCCTCTATTCTTACAATTGATATGCTGTCATCTTTCCCAGCTGCATTCTCAGAACTTGTAGGAGACGGTATTTGCCTTTGCTTTAAACAAGGTGTATTGAATAAATAGACAGCTTTTTGTTGCTGTTGTGTCTCTGCTATTTAGTGTTACTCTACCTGTTTAATATTATTCAGTATGATCAATTGGAGTTGTAGATAACAACTACTTAGGAAGAAAACAGGAAGACACAGAACAGTTTCAAAGACAACGTGTCAGTAAAAGGGCCCATGAGAGCAGCAGGAATGCCAGTAACAGGGAAGTGTCAAATGGTCCAGTGGACCGACAAGATCGTAAAGTACAGGATTAAACAAGAGAAAGCTTAAAAGTACCTCCCAGCCCAAGAGAAAAGAGATCCAGCCAGTTTCTCTGAAAATTTGCTGAAAAACTGTGGTAGTTCATGATTCTTTGTTGCCAGGACTGCGGAGGCCTTTGCTGAAAGATGAATATTATCTTTAATGATGTTTTTATTAAAATTAATTCAATTTACTAAAACAAAAAAGGAATTTTTCATAAATTAGTTATATTTTTATGTAGCAAGTCAGCAGAGGAATAGTCAGAATCAATACATGGATCAACATTCAGTCAATGAAGTGACAACGAGATCCTCAATCACATTCTTCATTTCAGTGGGAATTTAGGGATTTTAACATCTTATTTCTGAGGTTCTGTACCAAGCTGTGTAGCTCACTTGTTGAATTAATCCTCACTGAGAAAATAATTAATATACAGTTCTGGTAAAATGTTTTTTGGTATCTTAAAAGAAATTTGGGTTCTAGAGGGGTTGTTTCTGTGTTGTTTTTTACAATTATCTGTGGGATCTTCATTTAAGAATAAGCTTTCTTAAGTCAAATGGAAAAGAATTTGTTCAGTAGATTTCGCCTAGGAGTGAGGTGATACAAGTGTGTGTCAGCTGAGATACGAGGGTCAAGGAATGTAAATAAAATTGTGACAGTAGGCACAAGAATGTTGTGACTTACATTCAGATAAAATACAGCAGGACCATCTCTACAGCTGATCATCTCTAAAAAGACTTGGGCAGTATCTCTCTGATCTTTTCTCAAGAGGTGGGAATAAGAAGTTATTTACTAGAACTCATCACTTGAGAGCTCTCTTGATTTCAGCTGTTCACCATGTAAGGTGTAGAACAAGCCAATTCACAAATATTAATAATTTCCTTTGTCCCAAATGGTTTTTAGCTTAGTCTGATAGCTTACTCACAGTGTCCATATAATCACTGAACTTTGTCTAGGAAATATAAGACAAACCTGTCATTGTTGTTAGTTTCCTGTAGCAACCCTGCTAAACTAATGGTGCTGTTGAATTTTGAACAAATTGTTTTCTGTGCTTTGAATTAATTCCAGTCGTCCAGGGAATTTAATGCTTTGCTCTTTTAAATGCATTTAGCTATTCTTGTAGAAGGGATTATGTTGATAACTTGCTTTCTTGAAGAAGCAAGCAATAAAACGATGTGTGATGTCTTGGAGTTGGGTTATTTTTCTTTTTAGAGAAGCCAGACTTCTGACTTTCTGAAATCCAGGAAGCCAGAATTTGTCCAACATGAGGGCCTCTCACCATAGGCTGCTACTAACAGTTACTTATTTCATTTTATTTTTTAAAGCTTTTAATGTTTTGTTCATTTTTGATGGCTGTTCTGAAGGATACTTAATTCACTTCATACAGTTCAACTGTTGTTTTTTTTGGGATATGTGTGAAGGAGAATTAAAATTATTAATATATGTAGAATTAATTCTGATGAATTATTCAACATGTATGGAAAAATTGTATAATCTCTTTGTATGATCTTCCCATATTAAAGCCTTCAACTTTTTTGAGACTGAACAATTTTCACTGATAATTTGGAGGTGAATTAAAAACAAATCTGTTTCTAATTATCCAGATGGATTATTCAAAGAACTAGGCTGTCTACTGAGTGTTTGAATTTTAGTTTGTGATCTCAGATTAGAGTTTTATGTAGCTGGTTATCTGAATATCTGAAAAATTGCTAAATTTTTGAGTGAATATAATTGACAATTTGAGGAAAAGATGGCAATTGTATTCAAAGTCATTAAAAGACAAACATTCACCATGTGATGTTTTGACCCTTAAATAAATGTTAGGGTTTTTTTCCATCTGTTTGAGAAGAAAAATAGATACCAGATTATGAGTTTTCTCTAATCATATAGGATGAGAGTTTCTTGAAAAATCTATCTTATGTTGCTTGTTCAACCTTTTATTTATTATCTGAAAATATGGCAGTGCCATCTCACTGGTATAAAAAGCTAAGTTTGGCTTTTGAGTAGACTCAGTACAGAAATCCAGTGCAATGTGTTAGACTCCAGCTTATGTTAATTTGATAATGCTCATGATGGGAATTTCTGAAGAGTCACAGAAATAAACATGCTCCAGTGGTGATGTTGTCATGAAGCGTGATATTTGAGGCCCTTGTAATCTAATTCTTACTTACATTTTGCATAGAATTTGAAAGATTTTTTTTCTGCAGTGCTGCATAAAGCTTTAGTCTTCCATCTTCTGGATGTAGTAACTGAAACTGGAATAAGCACTGAAGGAAAGGCAAAAGGAAATGGAGAGCTGTCAACATGGAGAAAACAGAAAGGTTTTGGCTTACTTAGCGTTCCAAAATGAAGGCTAAGCTGTTGATTCTTATGCTTGATTAGCAGGGTAAATAACAGAGGTGAAGACCTACTTAAGCTGAAGAATAGTATGGCATAAGAATAAGTTTATGCTGAATACGTTTAGGCTGGAGTTTAGGATACATTTATGAGAAGCATTTGGATAGCTTTCCATTCAGCTTGTAAGACCAAGATACCTAAACAGGTAAGGACTTCTGAAGCAATAGAGGTGAGAAGTTTTCTACGCTGAACACCACTTTCTCATGGCATGTAGTGGGAATTGCTAAGATATGCAGGCTTTTATCCCACATTCTGGTCATAAAGTGAAAGAGAAATGCAGCAGTCTGTCTGTGTTCATCCAACTAATGTCTGCAGAAAGGTTTTAGATACTCCAGTGATTATGGTCATGTTTTCAAAGATGAAAGTGTCAGAGATGCAAACAAGCATACTGTGGTGTTGGGTTGTATTTTTTTTCTCAGAAGCACCTTGTTAAGCTTTCATTTCAATCAGCTGGAATTGAGCACTGAAAATCCAGCCATTGATCTGCCTCATTTGATATGTAGCAAACTGCACATTTCTCCTTAAGGCCCTTGAAGGCAAAGAATAAAATCTATTTGGTATCATATTTTATAAAGAATCAACACCATGAGAATAGGAATTCTAAACTTCTGAATGTTTGAGGTTTTTTTAAATGATGTTTGCATATATTTTAGCCTGATATTGCCTATTGATGTACTACTAGTCTCAAGGTGTTTGGAGCAACTCATATTGTGAAGAAAAGGCAACGCTTCTGTTCATACCAGTTGTAATCTGTTATGAATGTGTAGTTTTGCGTTTCTTTGGGTCACAACATAGTATGAAGCAGAAAATACTAAAAATATGCATTGCTAAGTCCAAAAGATTCTTTGTCAATGGTCTTCGATGCAGCATTAGCTCTAAGATGTGCCCTAGCACTTCTAGAAGGCAATATTGAGAAATGTGATGCATTGAGTGTGGTTACAATTAAATTCCATGTTGGCTTAACTGCTTTTTTACGGGATCGTGAACTTGCTTAAAGAAAACTCTAAGTAGAGCAAACTGTTTGTATGCACAGTGTTTCAGACTGTTACAAATAAAACTGTCATTCTTGCTTTCTGTATATTTTGGACATATATTTCGTAGTAATCCACAGCTCAGAATGTGCTTTTGAATTATTTTTCCAAAAAAGCAGGTTAAAAAAACTGATACGTTTGTAGGAAAAAATCCAGATGCTAGTCTATTGCAGTAATCACCATTATGACAAATATTTTGTAATGCACACAGTTTTATGGAGAATGATGGTTCCTGATGTCCAAAATGAAGTAAAGCAGCTGACAGAAGCCTCAACTCATCCCACTCTCAAAGACATCTGCATATCTAACTGCAGTGGCATCTACATGTCTTCTGGGAGTACACAAGGTTAGGCTTAAAGAGACAGTAAGTGCTTTTTTTTAAAAAAGAGTAATTTGAGTAGCACTAGGGATACATAAATCTCATTAAATTTACTCGGGGAGAAGGGGAGTAAAAAGTTAACTATTCTTTAAAACATGAATCATTCTCCCTAAATCTATCCAGTGACAGCGTAAGCCAAGGTGGTAGTGTCTCATCAACTGTTAATTGGTTTTTTTATTAAGTGCACAGTGGACATCATTGTGATTTTCTTTTTTTTTCATTGGGCTTGTCATATCTCTCGGTATAACTGATACTTATTTTTATCCTTTGTAGCGCACACCATTAAATTGCCAATTGAATTATGTTTAAACTTAGTATCTGAGATCTCAAAGTCAAGTTATTTTGGTAGGGGAATATAAAGAATCTTACTTTTTTTAAAATTGATTACTGTCAAACTCAAAATGCCACCCCTACTGTAATTTGAAGAAAATCTCTGAAAGTGGTCAAAAAAAGTATCAAAAGATGTGAGTTGGGGTTCACAGAACCTTGAAATAGTTGGCAGGAACCTCTGAAAGGCATCTGGTCCCAACCTTTGCCAAAGCAGGGCCGCCTAGAGCTGGTTGCCAAGGACCTTATACAGATGTTTTTGGAAGATCTCCAAGGAGGGAGACACAAACTCTCTGAGCAATCTGTGTGTGTCTTCTATCACCTGTACCTGGAGTTTTTCTTGATTTTTAAACAGAACCTCTTTTCTTTCAGTTTGTGTTCATCTTTTGTTCTTGTGTTGGGCTCTACCGAAAAGAGCCTGGCTCCATCATCTTTGCACCCTCCCTTCAAGGGTAAGATCCCTCTTCTCCAGCTGAACAATCTCAGCCTCTCCTCAGTCTCTTGATCATCTTGGTGGCCCCACATGGAACTCTTTCTAGAATGTCCAGATCTTTCTTATCTTGGGGCCCAGAGCTGGACACCAGGTGCAGCCTCACTGAAGCTGAATAGAGGGGAAGGATCACATCTCTACAACTGCTGGTGATACTTTGCCTAATGAGCTACAAACACTATCTTAGTGGAAAGGGCTTTTTCTGCAGGACTGTTTTCCATCTGGGTTCCCCACAGCATGTATTAATACCTGGTATTCCTTCTCAGGTGCAGGATTGTATGCTTCTTGTTGAACATCACTACCATCAACCCAAAAGAGGTTCCCTCTTGTTCTGTCATTTCTGGTTTGAGTCTTTATTAAATGAAATAAAATGAAATCGGGCAGGTTATTTAATTTCCTTTAATGTGAAATTCTGTGAATATATTCAACAAAGGGGTGGACAAATATCAGAGCTCAAAAAAATGTGATCATTGAAACTTCGGTACATCTGCAGGCTGTTGTTTAAACAGTTCTTCAAACCTGACTCAAAACATACGCTACTTGAAAGTGTTATTTTGCTATTAAAAAAAAGTCTCCAAAGTTATCTCCCCTTCAGCTCAGTAGAATATCTTTGACACAAAAAGGATTACATTTCTTTTCCAGACTGCTACAAAGCAATGACAAACTAGTCATCAAGTGTCTGTCCATTTTCATCCTTCCAAACATGTTTAGAAGGTGACACCTTGGGATAGTCAGGTAGTTAATATAGTCACTTCATTAGCTTAGAACAACACATGGAAGAAAAAAAATCAGGTCTTAGTGAAGTAATTGAAAACCCTCATTAACTTAGATGAAAGCAGTGCTTGGTATTTCTGAGTAAATTGTCAATGGAACAGCAGCTGCAAATCTGAATCTGTGTCTGCAGATTGCACGCAGATTTGATTTTTATCTTGTAATTAGAAGAATCCCTGTAAACTCCAAGGCAAAAGATATATCTACCAGGTTGTTCCAACTGCAGAAAGGCATTGGCTCTGGGTGGCCCTTTAAATTACTCAGGTAATGTTCTGGTTAACTGGAGGGGGGGGGGGGGAAAAAAAAAAAGCAGAGCTCTTCACCTCTGATCTTAAAGAGCAGCATTGTGTAGAAAGTTCTTCACACTAAATGAAATAATTTGTTTATGTAGTAATTTTATAACCTGTTACCTTTCTCTCTTTATGCTTGTTATACTCCAGTTAATCACCTCAAGAAAAAACCCCACCATCAAAAGAAAGGCCTCTTCAAACAACTATCTTTCTTTCACCCACCACAGTTAGCAGCTATTTTGAGGATTTAAATGAGGCTTTGTCTTCAGTGGTATGCCTGTTACTGCCAATAATAAAATCAGTTCTGACCACACAGAAAGTAAAACAAAGTCCTTAAGTCTTCCCAAATGCTGGGCTCTTGTAGCAGCTACACGTTACTTTATCTATGTTTTATTATGTTCTATAATTGACAACAGATAAGCTTTAAGGCATTTGATGCTACATGGTGCAATTAGTTATTCGTGTGCTTCCAAGTATTTTTCCTTCATGTGCAGCCTTGGGTAGTGCGTGCTATAGTGTTTGTTTTCTGTTTCATTAGACTTGGCAGAAACACTGGTACTTTGAGAGAAAGTGATACGAACCATACTCGAGCCTGCTCTTGGCACTGGTCTCTTAACAGAGCCTATTTTAGAAGCAGAATTGCTCCTGGAGAATGGTCTCCCGCTACTGAGATGAATGAAGAAACTACACTGCCTGCCTTTGGTTTCAGTCAGGTACACACAGAATACATTAATGGAGTAGAAGCTGTTCACGGCAGTTAATCTGGCAAATTAGTACCTAGGCTAGACTAGTCTAGGTGTAAAATTCCTCTATAGGAAGCTTTATTAGAGTTGTTGTTGTGTTCAAATGGGCATTGTATTCTTTCCTGCGAAGTACTGATGCATAGCAATGAATACATCCTGTGGTTCTCAGAGCTGGATTTAGCTGCATTATGTAAATTATTTCCTATTATACAACAGAAGAGATATTCCACTCTTCCTGTGTCCTAGTAGATGTGAATTTAGATCATCAATGAAGCCAAGTCATTTCCTTCCAGTCTGTAGCCTGTCCTCGTCCTGGTAAAGTGAATGTCAGTGTTGAATGCTATTTTGGTAAATGCTGCCCACGCTTCCTCATACTTGATAGTATGAGTTGTCCACTGAAAAGCTGTAATCATAGATTTACAGGTTAGTATATGATGGAAGAAGTGTGAACTTTACATCTGAAAGGAAAAAAAAGCCTTTTGGACACCAGCAATTCTGCTACCATTTCGCATGCTGTGGTGATTAAGAGCAAATGTGAGACTATGAAACACTTAAGAGAAAATGTCTATTTGGTTACCATGGCATGGTCCAGAAGATTTGAAAATAGGTTGTATGCCTGTATCTTTGATGTGAAGAAGGCTCTACTGAGAATCTGATTGTGACATGGAGCACAGCCTTGGTGTACTGTAGGAGTTTATATTTAAGAGTCAGTATTAAATATTTTAATTTGGGGATTTTATTAAACCCTTTGGCTTGAAACTTCTTTATTGGCTCTCAAGCACATCTCTTCTGAGGGGCTGAAAAGCACTTTATTCAAAGTCAAAATGACAGGCAAGTCAGAGCCTCGCTGCTTGCCATGCAGTGCCCTTGTACATGATCCTGCCCTCACACTGTAGCTACAGACAGCTGATGGCAGAACAGGGCTCAGGGGGGTGTCCTGCCTGGCTCTCCCTGAACCATGGTTGTACCAGGGCTGCAAGGACTGCTAGCAGCAAGAGAAGCCAGTCTAGCGGGCAGTGTTCTGAGCAGTGCAAGCATCTGCAGTGCTGTGTCCCACTGCCTCCTGGCTGCTGGGTGTAAACAGCTGTCCGTAGACCACAGTATGCTTGGCGGTCCTTCGCCTTTATCACCCAGGCCACCTCGGGGCAGTCTGTTATTAACTTGCTTGTGTGTTAAGCATGGTTTAGTGTTTCAGCCTCTGGTGCTTTTTACTTGCAAAGTCCTTGAACTTCCACAGACCTTCTCAATTTTAATGCTTTTGGAGAGATACTTTTATTCTGCAAATACAACGTTTTCTGTAATGAGGAAGCAGGAGGGAAATGTCTTTTCTTCAAATCACTTAAAAAGAAACTGAATTTCACCCTCCTCATGAATTCCATAACTTTCTGTAAGTTTGTTCCTCTCTCTTCTAAACCTTTTAGTCAGTAAGAATGTACAATGATTTATATCAAAGAAAAAGTAATATAGTAAAAATGAGATAGTAGGTACTTTGATATATAGCCTGAAGAAGTCAAGGTCCTCTATTACTTGTGATTGAGGCAGCAGTAGAAAATAGGAGCTTGCTGGGAGACCCTGGAGTAAAAACTGCAGGAGAGGGTCATCTGTCTATGCCATAATGTTCTTCATCTTGTGGTGTGTGTTTACCAGGTTAAAGCAGAAAGGGCTATCAAGCTGCAAAGAGAAACTGGAAATCCTCCTCTGCCTAGAAACTTAGTTGCATATTTAAAGTTTTTTCTTTTATCAGATGATCTCTTGCATCATCACCCACCCAGCTAAAATTAAGGCCAGGATAAACAGGATGTTGAAATAAAATGTTGCAGCATACATATGAGCATTACAAATGTCTGTGCAAACCACACAACTCTGTCTTCCAGCAGCTGGATGTAGAAACTTTAGAGCCAAGAGTGTTCTGGATTGCCTCAGTGCAGTCCAGAGATATTAATGCATAAAATCTCTAAAAGTTCTGTGAATGCTCTCGGGTTGGTATTGGGGCACATTGTTCTTAATTCGTCCTTTGTGCACGAACAAAAGAGGCAGGAATCTCACTTGCAAGGCTGCATTCTTGTTTTGAGAGCAAAGCATGGGTTGGCAGTTCTGTTTTTTTTTTTTTTTTTTATTGTTGGTGAGTCATTGGCTTTCCTAGAGTGGGGGGGAAAAAAAAAAAAAAAAAAAAAAAAAACCATGTAATTTTATCTTGTAGAGACATTTTTTAAGAGGTAGGGAAACACTGTAATGTGTAGCCTCATACCTGAGTCACACCAGGGATTTACCTGACTCTCAAAATCCAGCACATAAATTCACCATTATTTCAGCAATCAGAGGAAGAAGCTGCTTTAGAAAATGCTATTAGACTTCTACTGGGAAGTAGTTTGTTATCAACAGTTAGCTATAGAGAATCTCACAATGCATATTCACTTTTCAGTCAGTTGCATTTAGAAATTTGAGTTTACAGCATTTGGCAAAGAATTGTGCATAGTTGTTGATATCACTGCCATTTACCTGCAGGACTGAGCTACACAGTCTGAATTGGTTTGCTGTCACCTTGAGGTAAAACTGTGAAGAAAAGTGCAACATCTGTGTCCCAAAACAATAAAAAAGACCTGAATTATAAAACCTGAATAATATTTTATGACCTCCTCTTTAGCTCTATAGTTACTGTAAGTGTTTTATTGGAAAGGAACGGCATATTACCTGGAGTGCTAAGGAAGTTGTCAAAGGTTCATAAGAACTTTGTCTTCAGGTTGTATATACTTTTTAGTGAAGTTTGGCTCCTTTTTCTTATTTTTCATCTTTATCTAATCTATAGATATTCTACTTTTGGGCAAGTTTGTCTCTGTTTTGACACCATCTGCATTGTTATTGTTTTATCTGTTTACATTATAGTACATACGAGCAAATGTAAAGCTGATTAATTTCCAAAGATTAGCAATGTATTTTTATTATGTAGACTTGAGATTGTCATGGGGTGTTGAAGGTTATGCACTTCATGCTTTGCCTGTCTGCATTTCCATAAGCTGAAGCACTAGCCTAATTGGAAAGCGTGAAAATGACAGGGTGTCAAATGAATGCTTCCCTAGTATTATCCAAAATCAGTTTGTTCTTTTCCTTTTTTATGAGAATGAATGAGAATGAGAACTAAATATTGTGTCATAATTAGTCTCAATGAATGTCCAAGAATCTTCATCTTCATTACAGTAGACTCATATGTGTGCTACCACTGGATGAAATTAATACTGTGTGTAAGAAAATGGAAATACCATGAATTTTGATATTCTCAATGTCTTTCATCTTTATTCTTCAATGCATTAAATGCCTGTTAATGGTCTCACCAAGCCAACAGGCATCTGTATCAATCAACTGTTATTCAGCTCAAAATTAGACAAGGAAAACACCTACCAACTTGGCTGTCTTCATGGAGTGAACGATTGAGAACAGATAGAAAATGAGTTTAAAGTAATTTTAGGATTATATGCAGCTATTAGAACAACAATTTCCTTGCAAAATTGGAAATGATAACAAAGTGCTTTGTGAATTTCATGCAGTTCTGTCTGTCTTTGCTTTT